ATATATGGAAAAGCCCTTTGATCAAAATATACTTATCCACATAAGGACCTCTGTCAGAGGTGTTAGAAGTTGTACAATAAGGTAGTTTTTGCAAACAGGGTGGACAAACAGACTGTGGGGCTCACACCCAGTCCATCTTTTCATGGTCACAGATCCACTCCATTTACTCAAATCTAACAATAGCTAATATATGTATGTCTCTCCATTTTTATATGCTTTAGTCACTTGCTAATCTCATTTCTTACAAGAAATGTTTCCTGGTAAAGTGTGTATGTAGGACCTTTGATAAGAAATATAAGTAATTACAAAGTATTAAACCCAAAGTAAGTGAAGTTGCCATTTACAAGGTAAAATCCTCAAATAGCCTATCAATTACACTATATATATCAAAATACACACACACAAATCAGATATACACAGATAACAATGCAGACATTATTTTTGCCTTATTTCAAGTTTAATATCATGTTTAACATCAAGTCTCCATCGATGCCTTAAAAAAACATAGAAACATCTTCAACATATATCAGTTATCTAGAGGAATAAATATACTCCACATTGTTACTATCAGAACTCTGGAAAAGAGATTTTATTTCTCTCTAGTGTTTTAGAAATTGGTATCTAAAACACATTATAATTTCATCTTGACTCAGGTGAGTTATCTAAATCTTCTTCATTGAGCTTTTAAAGTTGAGCCATTTTTAAGTTCCAAATATAATAAAGATTTAAGTATACATTCAAACTGAAAAAGGGAATTTATTTTCTATTCTACTTCTGGGTTGAAGTACTTTTCCTTGCCTTACTTGCTTTTGATAAACATCATCTTCAATTTAAAAAAAAAAAAAAGGCAAAATACCATAAAACCTATGAAAGCCAGAACCTGTCAGGTAGAAACCTCTAAGAGACAGAAAACTCAACTACTTCCCACAAATAGAGAGTGATACAAAAGTAGTAAGGTTGCACCTGTCAAAGGTGGAAAACGTGTGACACCAGCTCTCCCAGGTTTCTGTGTGTAACAATTTTAGGTGAGAAGACATTCTATATGAATGTTTTCAATGATGTCACCTTTTAAGCATCAGAAAAAAAAATTCACATCATTTCTGGATGGATGGCCTAGTTACATTTTTCTTCAACAAGACTTTTACCTTACTTTTCTAGAGTTTCCTTGACTCAAAACAATAGCTTGAGGATGATCACATAAGATTTAGTGGCACTATGTTATTTTTTTTTTAAATTAGCAAAGTTGGGCTTCTTGATAATGTTGTTGTTGCTAAGTGCCCTCGAGTGGATTCTGGCTCTTAACGACCCTATGCAGGGTTTTTGAGGAACAGCTGGTGGGTTTTAACCACTGATCTGTGGTTCCTAGTCCAGTGCTTAATTAAAATGAGCTGTGCATTCAGTGCCCTGGGCTGGCCCAGCAGTCTGAGAAAGAGCATTAGTTCCCATTCTTCCTTAAAATGAGGATTAGCATTGCTGAAAATTCCAGAACATAGATTACATTGAATGCCACTGTTTCAAAGAGGTTTCCATTTAATCATACTGTAATGGATTTCCTTGAGCAAAAAGCCCATTTACTCAGCATTTATGGAGAGCAAGGGATTCCATAGTCATGGTTGCCTCCTCTTTGGAAAAGATTTTCAACTTTCTTATGATCACTTCCTCTCACTTGCTTTTTCTTACAATCATACATGTTCTGTGACTTAGGTTTCTTAAATTCATTTAAAACCAGATTAAAAAAAATTCAAGAGGATAAGAACAAACACAAAGTAAATAAGCAATAACTCTGCCATTACATTTTCTCCTGTATATTTGCAACTCTTTAGTTATTTCCATAGTTTTCACACTGTAGAACAATACACTTGTGGCCCAGTGATGAAGCAACGTGCACATGAGTGACAAAACATGGAAATCAAAGAGGGAATATAAATGTAAATCAAACTTTTAAAATCCTAGTGACACAAAGCCTCTTTCCTTATTTACTCCATGAACATCCACTTCATGTGAATTCACACTTTGGTTCCAGGAGGGCCATTCACTATAGGCCCTGAAAACAAACACCACTCTCCATTGAGGGTAAAGTAGAACTTGTTTCCTGTTTTCACTGGTGGCTAGCTTGCCAAAGTCTTCTGGAAGACTAATAAAAGTATATTCTGATCATTTGTTTTCAGGATTCTGGTGACCATGGAAATAGAAAAAGATAGAAACAGGCATGCTTTTTTTTTTTTTTTTTTCAAGTTTCGCTGGGTAGTAGAAAAATAGGTGATTTCCTATGGGGCTGTTTTTGTTTTTGTTTTTTTTTTGTAGCTGAGAATGGGGAGACTGACATTTCTGAGAATACTTCTTCATTTCCTTCAGTCTTTAAGGGAGTGGTAGGCTTTGGCAGTCCGGCTGTTGACAAAATCAGTCTTCTTAAATTGAGCCTTTGGAATAAGCAAATAGAAATGTGAAAGACAATAACATTTGCAAACAAAAGAGAGCCGCACCTTCCCCCCCCACCCCTCCCCCCCCATGATTTCTTACCTAAGTCAAGTCAACCAGGCTATTATTATCTGGCTTTGTTAACTAGAACACATTCCTTTTTAGCACTCTTACCTTCTTGTAGGAATTGTGGAGTTCAGTGTGTGTCCACAGAGAGTAGAGCAGAACAGAAGCTGCCTTACTTGCTTTGTTGGGGCAATAGCTGAAATGAAGACAAAGATCAGTGAGACCCTTCGAGGTTTCAGGACACAGGGCTGGGCCATTATGTGTATTTTCTTTAACTGCTGCTGCTCAGCAGACACTCACTAACTCATACCACTCCCCATGAAAAGGGAATCAGATGGTGAGCTTCATAGGCAGGGACTGTGTTTAATCTCTTTCCAAACTCCTAGCACAGGGCTAGGAAGTAGTTTACAGAGCAAGTTCCTGATATTTACAAGGAATGCATCTTTAGAAACTTACAAATCCTCATATTTATCTGTAGATACCATTTTTTTCCTTAAATGCAGCAAAGTATAACTGAAAAAGATATCTGCTTCTTACACTTAGTGACTCTATGAATGCAAGAATAAAGTAATATTTATAAGTTATTTAAATACATTCTCTTTGGAGAACGTGTTAAAATAGGTTTTAAATGACCATGTTTTTATATAGAACAAATAGAAAGCTTGCTCCTGCTCAAAATCCACGTTGCCAATGAATTTGAAACTGTATTTAGGTTTTTATATTCTGCTTTTAAATGCATCCCAAACTTCTACTTTCTGGCTAAGAACTAATGCTTTCTTGGCTTTCTTCTATCACCTGAAGTAGCACATCGCTAATTTTTTTTTTTTAAAGAAAGAAAGAACCCCCATCCCTCCACTTTCTACTCACAATATTATATCTAGAAACATGTAACAAAGCTGTAAAGAGAAGTGCATGTTTGGCAGTTGACTTGGTTCATTCTTTAGCTAAAAGTCTTTTTCTTCCAAACCAGCTTGGCAGAGAGGGTAAGTCAAATTAACACCTCACTGACTTTTTAGTACCTTATAAACTTTTCAGAGTTACTTGCTAATAACCAAAGTGCAAATAAATCTAGAATCGCTGTAAGATTAAAATTTGGGAAAACTTCATAAATTGCAAGGGTGCTATATTCATGAAGTTTGTTTATAAGTTAGTTTGGCACTTGAAATTCATTAATTTAAAGATATAATATTGTAAATAGTAATTAGATCCATAAGCTAGCTCTCATAAATTACAGGTCAGATATACCATGGGTTACTATGAAAGGAAGCAACTGGTAAATCCTTGCTGAAGACTTTTTTTAAAAGACAGGGCACGTGAGGACTAGCTTACAAGTGGTCTCGGCGCAACAAACATCACAGAGTTGCACATTGTCATCCTTTACTGAGCTCCTATAAGCAATGTCCACAAGTAATGATGTGTTTGCCTGTGCTTCTAACATTTGGTTACCCAAATAATCAATATCATATCATTTTATGGAGATCTGCTTAGAATTTTGCAGCACTGAACTGTGACCTACAAGGTCAGCTGTTCAAAGACAGCAGCAGCTCCTTGGAAACACTATATGGGGTCGCTATGAGTTGGAACCGACATAAGAACAACAACAACTTAGACCAGTCATTTCTGTTTTGCAGCAATAATTCATTCTCTTCACAAAAGCTGAGTCTCTGATATCTGCCACGCTCTAAGGAGGATGAACAGTTAGTCCTGCTTGGAGAAAGTGACATTCTAACTAGTGCTCATTTTAAACACGTGACTCTGGATGTGGTCTTCCCTCTTTATGGGACCTGCCATACGTGGGCTGCAAAGCACAAGGCGCCTCATCTGGGAGGCTCGTGGTGGAGGTGATGAGTGCTCATTCCATGATACCATTGACTCTTGCCACTCATGTTTGTCTACTACAAGAGAAGTCCATTTGCTTTGCAACTCATTAGTTCATTAGCGTCAGGTTATAATATTTCTTTCTCTTTTTGGTTGTTTACAAAAGTAACAAGTCAAACAATTCAGAGTTGTTTAAAAAGATAATTTTCATGTCCCCTTTCAATCTTGTCACCCTAAATGCACTAATATTAATAATCTGGTTACACAAGGTATTTTCTTGTCAATTTTTTTTTTTTTAATGGAGAAACTTTGAAACCACAGAAACAGGAATGTGAGATGACTAATGTGCATAAGACTTGTTCTCCAAAGAGAATAAAAGGTGTAGAGAAAACTGAGAAAGTAATAATTTCCTGTTATGTCACTTGCCACTTTCTGTGTTATCACTGTTTCTCCTAAGCTGCCTAGTGAGACGCTGGCTGCACAGATCTAAGTGAGGGATAGGGCACTCCCTGTCCACACGACTCTCAACTTGCCTATAATTTGTCATCCGCAGATGACAGCTATGGCTTCCAGGGAACAAATTCACTTCTTAGAACAATAAAGACCTGGAATGCGATCTCAAGAAAAGTTATAAAGTTTGATTTTCTCTCGATATTTTAGAAGACAATGACTTGTATGATTCAGACTGGATCAGATGATGCATTAAGATCTTGTTTTTGGCCCTGTTACCTGTGGTGCTTAATGCCTGCCCATTCACAAGCAGGTTATTTGCCACTTAGGAGTAATGATGGAGAAAGGTGAGGCAGCTGATGAGCAGATGCTAAACACTTACGTATCGCCTGCACTGATGGTCATAATTTTCTGGAGGCCCCCAGTGTTTAGAAGGTCTCGTGCACTCTGGTAACTGTTTTGGATTATATTATTCAGTGTGTAACAAGCAGAAGCTGTAGTTTCAGTGAGCAGGTCAGTACTTGGAACTGTGTCAGGAATTATGGAAACCAAATCAGGTAGTGTTTCTTTGGCTATAAAATAAAAGACATAGAATACGTGATTAAAATTATGATATCTCTTAATGTCAAGATCCCAGCACATGTTCTGCAGAGAATATTAAAAAAAAATTATATATCTATATCTATATCTATCTATCTATATAGATATATATATATCTATATAGATAGATAGATAGATAGATAGATAGATAAAACCTTGCTAATGAAGTTAAATACAGATTTTTAAAAAGACGATTCTCTACCACTTTACTCCCACTGTTGCGGTTCTGACTCATAGGACCATGTTGTATAGGGTTCTTAAGGCTGTAAATTTATGCAGGAGTAGAAAGCCCATTAGGGTGGCTATTATTCCAAAAGAAGACAAAATTAACAAGTATTGGCAAGGGTGTGGAGAATCTGGAGTCCTTCTGCACTGCTGCTGGGAACGTAAAATGGTGTAACTGCTGTGAAAAACAATTTGGCACTTCCTTATAAAAGTTCCATTCCTAGGTATATACTCAAAAGAACTGAAAGCAGTGAATTCAAAGAGATACTTGTGTACCAATGTTCATTGCAGTATTATTCACAATAGTCAAAAGGTGGACATATGTATGATGTCCATCAAAAAGATTCATGAATAAACAAAACATAGTACATACTTGCAATATTATTCAGCCACAGGAAAAAATGAACTTCTGAAACATGATCCAATATGGATAAATCTTGAAAACATTACAGTAAGTGCAATAAGCTGGGAACAAAAGCAAAACACATTGTATGGTCCCGCTTCTATGAATGTACATCCAAAAGTTCTTGGTAAAAGGGGATGAAAATATAATGGATTTTTTCCACAAACTTTTTGAAGACCACTCATTTAAAAGATCCAGTATAGGCAAATTCACAGAGAAAGAGTAGATTAGAGGTTACTTGGGCCTGGAGAGAGTGAGCCAACAGGGGATTATTACTTAATGGGTACAGAGTTGCTGTTTGGGGTGATGGAAAATATTGGTAACAGATGGTGGTTACAATTGCACAACACTGTGAATTAATATCAGTGAATTGTATACTTAAATGCAAAATTTTATCTTGTATATATTTTACTACAAATGAAAAGTATGATACTTTGTTCACTACAGTGGCAACATCTTTTCAGAAAGCAATTTGACAGAAATGTATAGACTTTAAATGAATGTTTATATTCTTCTATTCAGTAATTCCACTTCTGGAATTCATCCTAAACACACTATTTTAAATATTGTAAGAGCTTTATACAGAGATCTTTATGGTAGTATTGTATATAAGTGAAAATGATAAAAAGTTTAATTACTCTAGTAAGATAAGTCACCAAAATATACTTGCAAAGAATTATTATACATTCAAAAAGTGTATAATAATATATTTAAGCAGAAAAAAATCAGTAAACTAGTATATATTATATCCTATTATAATAGTGTTAATTTAATATACTACTGTAATATATAATAGCATAGACTACTATACTGATTTTTTCTGCTTAAAATATTAACAAATATTTTATTATTATGCATACTTCAGAGTTACATTTTTAGAATGCATAATAATCTTTTGCAAGCATATTTTGGTGACTTAATTTCTTATTAGAATATTTAAACTTTTTATCATTTTCACTTATATACAATGTTAATTTAATATTATAATACTATTTAATATATCATATACTAGTATATTGATTAGCCCAGGTTCGGGCAGTGTTTTGTTCTGCTGTGCATAAGGTCATTATGAGTCGGTACCGACTCAAAAGTACCTAACAAGTATATTGATTATATATTTTACTAGTATAATATTATATACTAGGAGCTCTGGTAGCGTAGTGGTTACGAATAGGGCTGTGAACCTTAAGGACAACAGTTTGAAACTACCAGCGGCTCCGTGGGAGAACGATGAGGCGTTCTGCTCCCGTAAAGATTTACAGCCTCAGAAACCCTGTTCAGGGTCGCTATGGGTCGGAACTGACTTGACGGCACTTAACAACAACAACAAATATTATATACTAGTATACTTTTTACTTTTATAGTATGTACTACTGTAAGGAGCTCTGGTAGCATAGTGGTTACGAATTGGGCTGCAAACCTCAGGGTCAGCAGTTCGAAACTACCAGCCGTTTCGCAGGAGAAAGATGAGGCTTTCTGCTCCCGTAAAGATTTACAGCCTCAGAAACCCTGTACAGGGTTGCTATGAGTCGGCACCAACTCCACGGCACACAACAACAACAACAACTGTAATGTTATATAATAGTACATGATATTATAAAAGAAAATACGCATCAAAAACCGAAACAGAAATACACTAAAATGTTAACAGGAGTTGTTTTTCTACAGTGTGATTAATGGAGATCTAAAGATACTTAAAAAAATTATCTGTACTTCCCAAAGTTTCTTGAATATGCAAGTAGTATTATTACTGGAAAAGGATAAACTATTTTAAACTTACTTTTTCAATATGTGTAAATGTTCTTTGTAACAGGGTTTGAGTTTGGCTCCCCACCCCTCCTTTTGGTAGTAATGAGAGGTATTAATATTCGATGGTTTCACTCTAAGTTGTCCTCTGGTATATAATGTATTTTGGGCAATGTGAATTAGTACTTGATTTTGTGAAACTGTAATTCTCATTTATGTTTTTCTCTTTTAAGAAGTCCTGGTGTCATAGTGGTTAAGAGCTCAGCTAACAGGAAGTTCCCGGGTTCAAACCCACCTGTTGCTCTGGGAGAGAGATCTGGAAGTCTTCTTTTGTAAAGGTTACAGCCTTGGAAACCTATAGGGTAGTTCTACTTTGTTGCTTTTGGGTCGCAATGAGTTGGAGTATTTCTTTTTATCTGTTTCCTCTTTAACTATTTTGGGCTTCCCTTAAATGTTTCTGTTGCTCCTTAAAGTTACTCACTACAGTGCTGTATTTATTTTAGGTTTACATCAAATACAGATGAATTTTATTGTTCCTTCATCTATGTGATGTGGCACCCTGAACTGCACTTCTCTCCATGATACTGCATTTTGTGTGTGTGTGCCTGCCTTTCTTCTAACAGGACTATGGGTTCCTTGAAGACAACTATCATTTTCAGCTCTGGATTCCCAACATCGATCATAAGGCCAGAAACAGAGGCATTCCATAGTGGCACTGTGTGATACATCATCCTTCCATACTACCTGGACCTGACTGACAAGTAAGATACATTTCTGTTCAGAGGCCTCAACACTTCTTTAACTGTCACTTGAGTTTCATAGCACAATGTCATGAGCTCAGAACTCAACCTCGAACCAAGACATCTTCAACTTCAGCTCAGTCACTGTCATTTAATAGCTCTGTGATCTTGGCAAGCTACTTAACTTCTTTTGCTACATTTCCTAAATATTGAAATGAGGTAATAGTACCTACTTTGCAGGGTTGTTTACAAAAATTTAATGAGCTAACACATGTAAATTTTATCATAGTACCTTGCATGTAGATGTGTTGCTAGGTGCCTTCCAGTCAGCTCTGATTTATAGTGACCCCTCTGGTAGCGTAGTGGTTACAAATCAGGCTGCTAACCTCAGAGTCAGCAGTTCGAAACTACCAGCTGCTCTATGGGAGAAAGATGAGGCTTTCTGCTCCTGTAAAGATTTACAGCCTCGGAAACCCTGTACAGGGTCACTATGAGTCGGAAGCCACTCCGCGGCACATAACAACAACCACATTTATAACAGAACACAACACTGCCTGGTCCTGCCCCAGCCTCACAACTGTTGTCATGCTTGAGCCCATCACTGCAGCTGTGTCAGTCCATGTTGGTAGAGGGCTTCTTCTTTTCTGCTGACCACCCACTTTAACAAGCATGATGTCCCTCCCTTCTGATAATATATCAAAAGTACATAAGACCAAGTGTCCTGGCCTCTGAGGAACATTCTGGCTATACTTCCTAAATAGATTTGTTTGTTCTTCTGGCAGTCCTGGTGCCTTTAATAAACATTCTTTGCCAACTCCACAATTCAAATGTAGCCATTCTTCTCCAGTGGTCTTCTTTCTTCATTGTCCAACTTTCACATTTTTATTGAAAAGGTTTAGGTCAGGTGTACCTTAGTTGTGAAAGTTGTATCTTTGCTCTTTAATACTTTAAAGATATCTTTTGCAGATTTGCTCAGTGCAAGACATCGTTTGATTTTTGGAATGCTGATTCCATGAGCATTGATTGTGGATTCAAGTAAAATGAAATCTTTGACCGCTTCAAACTTTTCTCCATTTATCATGATGTACTGGCCCATTTGTGGGAATTTTTGTTTTCTTTACATTGAATTGTAATCTATACTGATGGCTGCATTCTTTGATCTTCATCAACAAGAGTTTCAAGTCTTCTTCAGCAAGCAAGGTTGTGTCATCTGCATATCGTAGATTGCTAATGAATCTTCCTTCAATCCTGATGCTGCATTCTTCTGCATCTAGTCCAGGTTCTTGAATTATTTGCTACAGCTTACACATAGTCAGCAGTTCGAAACTACCAGCTGTTCTGCAGAAGAAAGATGAAGTTTTCTGCTCCCGTAAAGATTTACAGCCTCAGAAACCCTGTACAGGGTCGTTATGAGTCAGAACTGACTCCATGGCACACCACCACCACCACCACCACCACACATAGTAAACTCTCGGTGAAGGTCAGTTATTATTAGAAGGCACATAAAAAATATTGCCTGGCCTAGGAATTCTTCATGAAAAGCACAAAGCAAGCATAGCAAAATGATTTTCATTTATTCCTGTATTAATTACCTGAATCAAGAGATGACTTTTCACTTAGAGCACTGTATCTGACAGAGAGCCAGTCTTGGCATTTTAAATTGCATTTATCTTGCCACTTCTCTCTGTTGTCCATAGAGTAAGGGAAGTTTTATCAGCTGAATCATCTTATGTGAGTTATGTGGTTACAACTATAACCTCCCAATCGTTAAAGGTACTGTAGAGCCTAAGACCAACAGCCTTTTTGCCCTGGGGGTAGGTGTGTAATGTGTATAGTGCAGTTATTTTCCTTGGCAATGCTTTAAAGGGCGGAATGCACATTTCATGTAAGAGAAGAAAAAAATTCTAAGGAAAATACACCTGCATTGAAGTAGAGTACAAAAGACCACAAAAGACAATAGGGTGAACACTTTCATAATTTTGAGAGTGCCTGAGGCAAAGTTTCTTTTAGGTTCATTGAACATTTTCCAGACTTTCTCTCCATTTACAATGAGGAGGAAGTCATTATATGGAACAGCTTTGTCAACTATTGCGCTGCTGCTTGTCTTTGGAAAAAACATTACTAAAACATAACCACAACAGACTCTAATATCCTTGACAGTGTGTGTGTATGCGTAGACTTCAAAAATCTAATTAATCAAAAAAACCCAACAAAAATTGGCTTATAAAAAACTGAAAATCAAGTCATTAGAAATTAATTTGTGGAGCATTAGAAAGCAGGCTTAATTTTAATATTATCTATCATTTCATTTTATAGTTTCCAACTGATTTACCATTTGTCATGTACTTCTAGTTATAAAACAAATGAATGAAAAATTAATAACTCTATCAATAATATATTTTTTCCTAATAATGTGGAGTCCTGGTGTGGTTCTGTGGAATAACGCACTAGACCACAAGGTGGGTTAGAACTTCAAGGTCAGTGGTTCAAATTCACCAGTTGCTCTTCGGAAACCCTATACATGGTCGCTATGAGTCGGAACCAACTCAATGGCACTTAATAACACCACCAACAACAACTAAAAATATTCTAGAGTAAGACTATTAGGCTAAAAATTATTTATGCTTTGATCTGGTATTGTCAGTGACATCTCCTTTTTGTCTCTTTCTTGTCTTATCTATCCATTTTTTTCTAGCCCAATACATTACCAAGTTTCTAAGGCTAGGATATTCCTACCATTCTAGAAAAGTGGTCTTAAACAGACTATATAGAGAGGACTCTTAAAGACAACTATGTGGATTCAAAAGGCAATTGGATGGCATAACTGAGGGATGAAAACATATCAAACATTATTTAACTAAAAAAAAGCTACATATTAAAAAAAAAAATCCTTTAAGAGATCCAAGAGAAGGTCTACCTTTGATAGGTATAAAAGTCAGTCTTAGTTATCTGTTGTTTATCCACATTTTCAATGTATCATCGTGAAAAAAGTCCAAGGACAAGTATTTCATATTTTCAATAGGGATATATTGCATTTAGATGTTTTCCCAACTTACCGATTTCATTCTGCAGAGAAAGATTCCGAGACAAATTCCTCAGCAGGGACACTGCAGTTTTCTTCACATTTGGGTCACCAATGTGCAGCATCTTTCGGGCGTGTTGAAGGCCATTTTCCTTTTGGACAACTGTCTGAGCTACTGAAGTTGGCATCTGTTTTGTAAGACATGTACTATAAATGTAATTGAATTTGATTTCACAGCAATATTAAGTTTCCTGTACTAAAGGTTGAACAGAGGTTTTAAAAACCATTTAAAGATGTTATTAAACCAGTCTAAAAATGCTTTCTTAATAGGTTTCTAATTTAATTGTTGGATACAAACAGTTTATTCTGAAAAAATATATAGGGCTTTTAAAGTAAGAAATATATGGCTCATTAGGTTATCTGTCATTGTGTGCTGTATACCAGATGCTATGTGTTATTAAATGCCATGAGTTGGTTCCAACTTATAGCAGCCCTGTATAGGGTTTCTGAGGAGTGGCTGGTGAGTTTGAACTGCTGACCTTGTGGTTTAAACCAACCTTGTGATTGAATGCTAATCCTACAGAGGCAACTCTTATTTGGAATTAGTCTGGCCTTGTTTCGAGAGGTCTGAATACTGATCAGACCATTCCTAGTATCAATAAACCTTCAAAAATACTAAGGCCTTAGCTTGTGCCTACAATTTTATTATATAAAGTTTTACTTAAAGCCAGTCTGAGGCCATCATGCCCAAATTTCTTGCCACGATTGGCCATTCTTCAGGGTTTTAACTTCTTCATCTCATCTCCATGCTGCGTGTTATTTTCCTCCTTCTAATATTGTCCTCCTGCTTTCATTTCTCCACCTTGTTAAGGATTTTTAATAGAGTCCAGGGATTGGCTTTAGGGTGAGGCAAGAGAGTCTCTTTAACTATTTTTATATTTATAATCAACTCCTTCATGGAAAAGGCCCATAACACTAAGACGTTCAAAATGCCCTTGATTTAAAAAAGTTTCATAACCACGACTTTAGAATGCCTGTTCTATGTAAACAAACGATACTTTGTTTTTAATTACTTTATAGAACATTCCTATAGGCATTTGATAGCCTCTCAGGAGATTCTTTCTCTTGTAGCCCTCTAGAAAGGCAGCTCTTTTATCTTGATCAGAAGGTTGGTTTGGTACTCCCCTCTCATGCTATGGTCCTTCTAGACAATAATATCTTCCTTCATATGTAAAAAAGTCTGTCCCCCTCTGAGTTAACTTCCATCCAGCTCAATCATCCCTATCACATTTTCTTTGTCATCTCAAGGCCTATTTGACCTTTCACTTGAGGCTTTGGTACCTGGCTCATCCACTTCAAGTTCTATAATATTAGATGTTACCAGTAGTCATGGAGATGACCAAACTGATTACCTCTCAGTTCCTGTTGTTGTTGTTCTTAGGTGCTGTGTGAGAAAAAGTTCCTACAATCCCCTAAGAGTTACTGACCTTTGTCACTTCCACACATGAGCCACTGATTTCTATGGTCACAGAGAACCTGTGTTCAGGGAATCATACTTCGCCTCTGAAACCAAACTCCAACATCAGCCTCTGAACATACATTGCTGTTCTCCTTGCTCTCCCTCCCTTATTCCTAACATACTTCTTTAGTCCAAAAGGACTCTAGTCCAGTTAGCTCAACCTTCATTCCTCTTACAGCAAGTTTTTGATTCTCTTCTGTCTTAACTTTTTTCCTTATAATAATTACATACATAATCACGCTCACTGCTATCTTTCATCCCTCATGCTATTCTAGTTTATTCTGCATCCAGTCATCAAGACTGCAATATTGGGTTCTTTTAACTTTTTGACTTCTTTGAATTGATACTTGACAACCAAATGTTGCTAGATGTATATTTCTGCAAATTTATGGTCTCCAGTCTCCCCTAGGATCTCTAGTGATGTTAGTCATCTTGTTCTTTTTAAACTCTACGATGTGAAATTCAAATCATTACAGAGTCTTACTGAGCAGTATAGGGTGACTAGATACTCTAAAGACCATTTCTTTTCGTACAGTGACTCTCTATATTCCTTCTACCTTCTTTTGATGCTTCCTACATCATTCAATATTTTATCCATAGAAACAATCCTTCAGTATCTAAAGCCAAGGCTTATTTTATTTATTTATTTATTTGTTTTTTAGCTCCCTCAGCTTGAGAAATACTGAGCATGTTTTCCTTTGTGATTTTCTAACTTCAGGTCTTTTCATGTTTTATTATAATACTTGACTTTTCTTCTCAAGCTGCCCTTTGAAATTTTCTGTTGAGCTCATTTACTTACTCATCTTCCATTGTTTTAGCGTCTCTATGTTAGATAGTAAGTTTCAAAGTCTCTTCTGACATCCATTTTAGTCTTTTCCTTCTTTCTTGTCTTCTTAATGCTTAATGACCTTTTGTTTTCTTCCTGTATGATACTGTTGATGTCATCCCACGATCATTAGTGTCTAATGCATCAAATATTTTCTTGAGGTTTCTAAATTCAGGTGGGATATGCTCAAGGTCAAATTTTGGCTTTTGTGGATGTGTTTTTTAATTTCCTTCAGCTTCAACCTGAACTTGCACATGAATAACTGATGGTCGTTCCACATTCTGCCCCTGGTCTTGTTTTGGCTGATGACATGGAGTTTTTCTATGGTCTGTTCCCATAGATATAGTCAATTTGATTTCTGTGTATGTCATATGGTAAGGTCCATATGTATAGTTGTCTTTAATACTGTTTTAAAAAGGTATTTGCAATGAATAAGTCATTGGTCTTGCAAAATCCTACTATGGAATTTCCAGCATTGTTTCTATCACCAAGACCATATTTTTCCAATGTTTGCATTCCAATCACCAGAATTATGAATGACATCTTGATTTCATATTAAATCAATTTCGGACTGAAGAAATTAGTGGAATTCTTCAGTTTTTTTCATCACTGGCTTTAGTGGTTGGTTTACAAATGCGAAGAATAGTGGTATTAACTGGTCTTCCTTATAGAAGTATGGATATTGTCCTATCACAGCATTATATTTTTAAGATACAGCCTAGAAAACCCTATGGGAAATTCTACTTTGCTATATAGGGTTGTTATGAATAAAAATTAGCTCCATGGTACCTAACAACAAAAAGGCTATTGATATTGAGTACCTTTTCATGTGCTTATTGGCCACTTGGATATTCTCTTTGGTGAAGTGTTTTTTCAAGTCTTCTGCTCATATTTTGATTGTGTTGTCTTTTTTAATGTCAAGTTGTAGTTTTTTATGTATTTTGGAGAACCAATCCACTTTTATCTGGCTCCCTCAAACAATCCTACTCAAATTGCTCCAGCCATAGTTGTTTTTCTTTTGCTGAAGGCAAAAGACATTTCGTTTTTTACATTGCTTGACTTTTTCTTGACTATACTATCCTTCTTATAATTTTTTTTTCCTATGTCTTCTTTGGAGTCCTGGTGTGGTACTGTGGGTTAATGCACTGGATTGCAAATTTGATGTGAACTGCAAGGTTGGTGGTTCAAGCACAACAGCTGCTCCTTGGAGAACCTATACAGGTTTGCTATGAGTTGGAACCAACTCAATGGCAGTTAACAACAACATGTCTTCTTTAATACCACGCTATCCTAGTTTTTCCTTTATCTTTTTGGTGGTTCCTTTCTAGACATTACCTCTTTTGCCAACTACTAAATACTGGTGTTCTCTACGGTTCTGCTGACAGCCTCTTTTGTTCTTGTCATACACATTCTCTTTGGGTGATCTTATTTCATTCCTTTAGTTTCACCTATGATACATATGTTAATGCCTTAAAATTTATATTTTTACTTCTGATTTTTGTTCTTAGTTGTCAATGAGTTGGTCTTTGGTTCACGGTGACCCCATGCACAACTGAACAAAGTGATGCCCAGTCTCGAACCATTCTTATGATTGGTTACTGATCAGACCATTGTGATCCACAGGGTTTTAATTGATAGGTTTTCAAAAGTGGGTTACTAGGACTTTGTTCTTAGTTCATCTTACTTTGGAAGCTGTTGAAAATTGTTTAGCATCATTAACCATCACTGACCGATACAAGGGTAGTGGCTAGTCATGAAACACACTTGCTGAGACTCTAACCAGGACTCTTGCATGCAAGCTGAGAATTCCATGACAGAATTTCTGATTTTCACTGTGTTCCCAGACAGTATGTCCATAGAGTTACTAAACATCATTATCATTAAGATCACTTTCAACATAAAGAATACTAAATCTTCTCTCCTTCCAATGAATCCCTTCTTCATTAATTGTTGTTGTTAAGTGTCATCGAGTGAGTTCCGACCCATAGCGACCCTGTATAGGGTTTCCGAGGAGAAGATGGTGAGCTTGAACTGCTGACCTTGCAATTCAAACTGACTTTGCATTAACCCACAGTGCCAGAGGCATTCTAATCTTCCTACTTTATAATAATGCATTAAATTTATATACCAGAGATTTTGGAATCATCTTAATGTCTATCTTCCTCACTTTCTCCATCTCATCAGTTAGTGTTACTCAGTAAGACATAAACTCTCTTTTTGCCCATCACCATAGTTTAGGCCCTTTTCTCTTTCTTATCTCTAATATCCTCCAAACTAGTTTGCTTGGATGTGATCTTGCCTTGCTTACACAGACTGACAGACTGTTGCTAGGTTAAGTCTTCTAAAACTTTATCTGATTGTGCTCTTTTCCTGGTTTAACCCCTTTAATGACTCCCTTTGCCTTCAGAATGATAAGCAAACCTCTTGATGTGGCACAAATAACCATTGATAGCCTGGCAAATTCTTTCTTTATTTCCCTTGGCCTTTACTACTCCTCCCTAATTTTTTAGGCTTATCTATACTAAACCTCTTGGAGCTCTGGTAGCATAATGGTTACAAATAGGGCTGCAAACCTTAAGGTCAGCAGTTTGAAACTACCAGCCGCTTCGTGGGAGAAAGATGAGGCTTTCTACTCCCGTCAAGATTTACAGCCTTGGAGACCCTGTACAGGGTTGCTATGAGTCTGAATCGACTCGACGGCACTTAACAACAACAACAACAATGATACTAAACCTCTTACCTCTCTTACTTATTTGTAAGCACCTTAAAAGGAGGAAGCATATCGTACCCATTTTTGCCTCTTAGCACCTTATACGGTACCTAACACATGGTACATTCAATAC